GCGCAGGGACCCCCTGGTGCACCTCTCCTTGGGAGCCAGACCGGCTGCTGGCCACTTCCCCTCTCACACCCTGCCCTGTCCCCCAGCCTGGAACCCCCATTAGACTTCAAAACACTTGTCCTACCCCACCCCCGAGCCTGCACCCCACCCCCAACCGGGCCCCACGCCACAGCCCTCACGCTAGTCAAAAGATCTAATTATACTGGGTCGCGGGATCAACTATTTTCTTCAACCGGGTCGCGAGGAAAAAAGCCCGACAAGCACTGCCCTAGCAGATACAAAGCCACGGCCTTCCACGGCTCCGCCATGCAGGGGATGGGTCCCCTCCACAGCCCTTTGTGCCGCCTGCGGGGTGGACAAGCCAGCACAGAGCAAACCAACAATAAACCCAAACCTTCAACTCAAACTCAAGGTGTCCAAAACGCTTGGTTAATGGCCCCCCTTTTCCCTCGTCCCGGGGGCCTGTTCCCATCCAATCCCAGCCCAGGTGGGCGGACTCGAGCTTGAGCTAGTTTGTAGGTGAGGAAAAGCAACCGAGCATGGGGTGCTTCTCCAAACCAGCCTCCTCCCATCACACCTCCAGGCTTCTCAGCCGGCGGCTATAGCTGAATCCAGCCAAGAGCCAATCTACTTTTCCAGTGTCTGCATGTAACCCACTAGATACCTGACCCTGCTAGCCGCCGAGGCCTCAATCCTCCATCCTCCAGCGAAGGCACAGAGCTCCAGGAAAGGTGCTCTGCTCCTCATGGGACCAGGACCTTGGTCCTCGGGTTCACCTTGGCTTAGACCAGGACTAGTTCTCTGCTGCCCGAGACACAAACCATCGCGTGGCCAGAGCCCGGCCAGGAGGCCCTCACTAGATACCTGACCCTGCTAGCCGCCGAGGCCTCAATCCTCCATCCTCCAGCGAAGGCACAGAGCTCCAGGAAAGGTGCTCTGCTCCTCATGGGACCAGGACCTTGGTCCTCGGGTTCACCTTGGCTTAGACCAGGACTAGTTCTCTGCTGCCCGAGACACAAACCATCGCGTGGCCAGAGCCCGGCCAGGAGGCCCTA